TTATGATCCACAAAAATACATACAGAGGTGCTCAACCTTTTTTCTTCTAATTTCAAAATGTTCTGACAGAGTTCTGTAGGAAGGTTCCTCCCATTCTAACATTGTTGGGTAAATTATAGACATTTCAAAGAAAATAATAAATGTCTGCTTAAGACAGTTTTATTTCAGAGGGAAAAAAGAGTAGTAAAAGAGATTAATTTTAATACATGCAAATATTTCTAACATACATTCCTCTTTTCAAATACATATATAGACATCAGCACAAACAGAGAAAAGTATTGAAGAAAAAAAAAGATACTGTGCTTTTGTTTATGTCTTAGTATGATAAGCTATTGATCACTTAAATAATTTTATAAAATTTACTGGCTAATGCTACAAATTAATTATTTAGTGTACCAATCTAATTGAATAAACTGTTAAGACAGGTGTTAAATACCCTTTAGAACCACTGAGATGCTTTTTTTGTAATATTACGAAGTTGTCTTTTTAAGTAAGCGTAAGGTTAGAAGAAATGTGTCAGCCATGGCTAGTAATTCATATTAATTATTTTATATAACTATACAGGCTAAAAATGTGGATAGTGTGGAAATAATCTTTTGAAATGTGTGTTAGATAGCTTTGTACATTTCCTTTGATATTTCTAGCTCAAACATTATATCCCAAGTTATATGTAGGGATATATAAGACTATAGCACAGATAGTAAGGGAAATCTGCAGCTTTATAAATCAAGCCTTATCAGGGCCAAGAAATTAGAACAGAGGCACTAGTCAGGCCTGAGGCATTGTGGCAGCCTGCCCCAGTAGTATCTGACACACAGCTGAGGCTATATCACCGTTCCTGAGACGCCCCTGATTTAAAGGAAATGTGGGCACCCTTATCACTCGTTTATTCCATGATTATCTAGGTGCTTATCTCTCTCATACTCTTCTCATAACTCTCAATGCATTGTAGTATTAGAAAAGAGCAACAACATAAAAAAAGGTATGGAAAAAAGCAGAGACAAGGACCCTCTTGGTAGAAGAGTGTTCTCCCAAGCCCTGCAGACTCTTCTTCATCCTAAAAATATGAGTTGTTTCTGTGCAGGAGCCCAGCTTCAGAGGGCAGGGGAGAGAGCGTGCTTACTCATCTGATGCAGGCTGGGAGAGAGCTGGGAAGGGTCTCCCATTTCCTGAGTGATTTGGCAGGAAGGATGCTGGATGAGCCAGCATTTCAGGTGGCAGTGAAAAGCCTGGTCCAGTTTAGTGTTTGGAAGACCGCTGTGGGTGTCTGGCCTGGGGGTGGAACCATTTGCCTGAGATATCAAAGGAGCAGTGCTCACCCTGAGCCCACACTTGCCCTGACACCACAGCCCAGCCAGGCACAGCTGTGAGGGTGAGCCTTGTGCTACAGCCCAACAAGGTTCGCCAGGAATGTGTGTGTTTGGGAAATGTCTTTTATGTTGCCTTGCTTACACCTTGAACAATACAGTCTGAGAGCTTGGCAAACAGCTTCTACTCCTGGGGTCTGCAGCCTAAAAGAACATTTTAGTGCCTATCTTGTAGACAGACGGGCTGGTTTTGGATATAACCTTTAGTGTCAGACTTACAAAGCTGTTCAGAGGATTAACTCCTATTGAGCATCTCAGCTTTGAAGGAAATTGCACTAGGGAGTACTCACTGAGGCAGAGTTTCAGCTTCTGTAAATAAATACCATTGATTTGGGCTTTCACAGAGCTCCGTAACAGAGCATATTTAAAGGAGCATGATGCACATAAGATTTAAAAGTAAATTTGAAAAACCAGAGTCCTGGTGCCCTGATATCTTTATGATTACAATAATAAAAATAATCATCCATTAAAAACGAAACACAGAAAAGCACACAAACAAACAAACAAAACAAAGCAAACCACCCCTAGAAATGAAACCAGTAGTGAGATCAATCATCTGAACAATCCTCTGAATATTAAATTTTTCCTTTTTCTGAGGTAAGGTTTCTTATTTGGAACTGTCAGGAGTAAGCTAGCAAATGCTGGTAGCAGCTATACTTCACCTGTTCTGCCTGCTGTGTTTCCTTGGTCCTTTCCTCCTGTCCCCTAGTCCTGGGACAAGACCTGGAGCGGAGGCAGTACAGTATAGTTAGAACTTGCACAGTATAGTTAGAACTTGCTATTTCTGACATTCTCCAAAACATTTAGGTGCCTAGCAGAGAAGATGGGTGGGAATTTAGGTCAGGTGGAGGTCATAAAGAAGGTTAATTGCTGAACTACCCTGCCAAAGGAGGGGGTGTCCAGCTTCCTGTGTTCCTTGGTGGGTCCAGCCCTTAGAACAGTCTGTTTCCTCACTGAATCACTGTTTTACCCCAAGACTCACAGCCATGGGAGAGCAAAAGAAGCAGTATCATGAACATATTACAGTCAGAGAAGTTCTTTAAGGTAAAGGAATCTGTCTAAAATGAATAAAGAAAATAACAGGTTCTAACTTTCACCTTCTTTCATAGACTGTGAGTTTCTTTTCGTCTTGTTGATTCAAACTCTGATGACTGCCTTTCCTACATTCAGAAGTCTTTTTCAAAGAGATGTGAGTTTACACCCTTGAAAGACTTAGTTGTACTATTGATCATTGAATATTCTTTTGAACATTAAATTTAAACATTTCCCTTTCTGACCCAATGAAAAAAATTATTTTTATTATTATGGAAAAGGTTTTACTTCTCTTTAATCTCATATATTCATTTTCAAGTCACACAGATGGTAGTTACCCTAGAATACCCTTCAAGGTATTCAAAACTCAGTTTTTTAATGACAAGATATTTTACTACATTTATTTCCTTTCAGCAAAGTTTCTAAGACCTTAAAAAACCCACGGAACTATTTTACAGTTTAGATGGTATGCTGAGCTGGTTGCTATCCATGGTTGTGTCATTTTGCTTCATTGATTCTTTTTTCCTCCCTCTTAACTATTTGAGCAAGTGATACAGCTTGAAATAGCACAGTAACTGCTCAACATAAAATTTCCAAATTACGGTTGATGGAGTTTATTCAAAACAGTTTTTTAAATTCCAAAAGGAAAGGACAAATCTATGGGAAATATTGAAACTAAGCAGCAATAAACAATGGTTTGTTTGCACTGGAAAGTCTATTTACATAATCCAAACAACAAATATTGGGTCCCAACCTGCCAGACTCATAAAATATTTAAAGAGTTCTAATATTGCATTTCAAATTGAGATTTTGGAAGTTTTGTGTAGCTTGCTAGTTTTTAAACCAATAAGAATATTGATAAGTTTGGGGTTGTTTTCTTTGTGGTTTTAATTTGTCACTTGTTCAGCTGCTGTTCACTGATATTACTATGGTACAAAAATGAAGCTGTTGTTTTGAGATTGTTTTTTGAAAAAAAATAACATATTGTTCTTATTATGCTATGTGTGATGTGATTTTCCCTGTGGATTATCCTACTGGTAGAACTAATATGTTTACAGAATTTGAATTAAAACAGATTACATACCTGCAAAGGAGTGCACTATAGATTTTGTTTTGTCTTCAAAAATAAGCAATTTTTTCAAAAAGACAAGCTGAAAGTACCAAGAGAGAAAAGAAATAAGGGCAGTACCACAAATAATCAAAACAATCTGATATTCCAGATATTTCACTTCAACCTCTCCCTTTTTTACCCTCAGTAAAGCAGGGATGTATTCTGATGGTCTCTAAAAGCAGTAAAACAATACCATCTTCTCAGCCTATGGATGTTTGTGTATCTCCAATTTTGTCTCTCCAAATGAGACCTTCTGTGTAATCAAGTCCATTACATTGTTATTTTTGGATTTTCATTATCAGGGGGACCATAAGAAATGACCCAATGCTACAAGGTTTCATCTGTAAGGCTGTGCACAAGTTAGAATTATCTGCTATGACATTTGATAACTCAGGAAATAAACCAACTTGTTAGTAGTACAGTTCTGTGTATCCTCATCAATTTCACATTCAAGCATTTGTATATCTGAAAACCTTCAGCAAGTGAAATTTAAAAAAAAAATGAACATCCATGGCAACGTGTCCTTGTTCAGGAGTACAGAAAACCAAAACAAGATGTTTTTAATGGTATATGACATTGTGAGCAACTTAAGTTGAAAGGACACTTTAGTTTAGGACTTTAGATTTTTAGCTGAAGTGTAGGATAAACACATGATGCTATTATTGCTCAGATAGTGAAGAGAAGCCTTGTGTCCATGTTATTCTCAGAAGAAACTAGGTCCCTATTTTCCAGTGCACGTGAAGAAAGCTTTCACTGGAGAAGGCTGTGCAAAATGTGCTTTTTGCTGTTAGGCTGTGATGCTCTTCCTAGCCAGCCAAGCAGAACCAGTACCTGATTTGTAGGCAGGCTCATGACGCCTCCACCACTAACCTCTTTCAAAATAAAACCCAAATGAAAACACCAAACACTGTATCCAGCAACGTTTTTACATATGCTTCAAGAGAAAAGTGGAATCAGGTATAGGTGAGCCAGGCACACAGTTTGCAGTATGCTGACATGATTATCAGCCGTCATGGTAACACCTTCATTTACTGGGGTTCTGTCCTCAGTAATTCAGCAGATTTGCAAAAGGCCAAAAGATGCATAGATCCTAATTCTCAGGTCTGCCTTCTAGTTCTGTTTGTTTAAGGATTTATTTTTTTGTCTGTTTGTTCAATTTCTGTGTGATTTCTTTTGTAGGTTCCAGCAGAATATATACGTATGCACACATACAACCACATATGTATGTGTATTGTTTTGTAAATGTTCTCAGTCATGCTTTCTTCTGCTTTGCACCATTTGCTCATATACCTTCCATGTTCTCATTTATTTTTTGCGCAACTAAACCTTATAATAAATTATTAAATATAACCTGACAGTGACAGAGTCTTCCTGTTTTGTTTTCTTCTGGGCATGGGGGGGAATGAGGGGTGAAGGAGTCGGGGAGGAGAGCAGGGGCTACGCTCCAATTGCATCCCCAAAAAGAAAACACTGAAATTGCTGTGGTGAGTGGCAAGAAGCCTGTAAAACCACAAAGCTGTCAGATACCAAGCTGCTGTTCATACTTTTAAATCTAGGTTCAAGGAGCCCTGATAAATTTGCTTTTGTCAGCTGAATAGCACTGTTTGCCCGGCAGCAAAATAACACCTCCTGTGTGGAAAATCATGGGTATTTATTATTCTATAGAGCTCCCAATTTGAGATGCAAAAACCATGAACATAGACAACATCAAACACATTTTCTTTCTCACCCTGTCACATAGGCTTCTCATACACATAGATTTCTCAGACCAAATTAACTTTATGTAAACATATGCAGCTCCATTCTGCATATTAGAGCTGTTCTACAATTGATCCTTAAGAGTCCACCTACTAGGAAAAAGTGTTTCTATTGCAGAAGGACAAATAGTCTCTAATCCTGCATATGAATTAAGGGATAGGGTAACTCTGCAGGCTGCAATACAACACCAGCACAGCCAGGGTCTCATCACTGTCCTGCTGAAGCAGCTCAGGCAGTACCAGCACAGCCAGTTTGACCTTCCACATCTTGCCAGCACAGAGAAAATAAAGTCTATTCTGTAAATAAAAGGCCTGTGCTTTGGTTGCTTCATTCTTAAGAAAGAACTTAATGATCTTTTCTTATGTTTGTGTGAGACGTTTTTGCAGTTGACATAAATCTCCTCTGTCTGCCTGACTGATGATTCTTCTCCTCTTCTTTCTCTGCTCTGTATGCCATGAAAATTGGAAAATTGGATCTTCCATAATTGTTAGAAGGAGGCTAGAAAAACATTAAAAGGAAGAAAAAGAAAAAAGAAAAAAAAAAGAAAAAAAAAAAGTTGAAGGACTTTTCTCAAAGCAGCTACCGCTTTGGAAAAGCAGAAGAATTTTTCTTCAGATGCTGATTTATTATTCAGAAGTATGAAACCATCAATAAAAATGGGATTTTGTCTTCTTGTTTTCTGTGAATACATTTCAGATCCAAGCCATATGAAAAAAGAAGTTGCAGCTTGAATATGCTTCCCAGCTGTCTCACCTCTGGCCCCTGATAAAGCACCAGTGAAATGCCCTCTTCCCCTCACACACACTTCTCAGGTACTGACACAGTCTCTCCTACACCTATCTTAAAACATGAATTATTCTGAAGCTATTGACTATGCTAAGAATTAGTCATTTCATTAAGACAACTAAATTTTACATACAGAACTGGTATGGAGGAAAGGTGGTTTCTGAAGCAAAAGAGCAGTCCTTAACCTATGGCCGCCCTAGGAAGAACTTCATCCCGCTACAAACAGTGACCCAACAGTCAGAATGAGAGAAATCGGCTTTATCAGGACATATTGGCAGTGACATTGAAAGTGGAGCTTGTCACTGGATCATACAGGAGTGAGATCTGAGAGGAGATAGGTGGAAAGGCAGAGTCTCACATCCACTGTGAAAATGGGGTCTCATATCCACCGTGAAACACTCACTTCCCTAAACACACCCCCAATTAAGGGTGTGAAGGGACAAGACAGAAGCAGTGAAATTTCCACTTCTAAACTTCAGGACTTGAATAGGATTATTAAGGGGAAAAAAAAGACTCAGTGTTCCAAAACATAGACTTCTACAATACACGCAAAAAAGGAGATGCACTGAAACATCTATCCTAAAGAACTGTAGTGAAGTGGAACTGGAAAAAACAGATAAGACAAAGAATATCATACAATATGATTTTTTGCCTCAGTTTTACAAGTGATGACTTACTTGAGGAAAAAACAAAAACACAATTAATAAAAAGGCTATCAAACCAAAAGAGGTAATTTGTTAATAACATAGACCAGAGTAGTCTTTAAATGTAGTTGTAAAGCATTAAGGAGTATTCATCAAAAAATAATGAATAGTAGTAATCGTATTTTAAAATCTTCAATTTTTCCTGTCTATATAGCTTAAGATTAGACTATAAGATTCAGGGGATATAAAGAATAGACACAGAAGAGAAAGAGCTTAATAAATACACAGGGCAAACCATGAGAAAGCTCCATCTCAACAGGTGACCTTACCCAGACCTGAGTACAATACTTTCGATAAAGCATCTGTGATCCTCCTTTCTGAAGACATACATTTAGTCTGAAACATAGTGGAGGAAACTGCACCATACATGATAGTATAGTCTAAAATGTCTAATTCCAATATAATGCTGATGTTGCTTACTTTCCCACTGAAACCAATAAATACAATAAAATTCCAGGTAGGCTTGCAAGCTGCAACATGCATGAGCTTAGCACTGTATCATAAAAGCCTGAAAAGGCCCTTTGGTTTGGGGAAACCCTAATATGTTCCCCGAAATTCCAGCAGCATCATATATTGTGGTAGGGGAAGGAATACATCTTCTGCTCACTATTTTTTCCTTTGGAAGAAGAGAGATTCTTGACCTGAGTACTAGAGATATTTGGCAGGGAATACAGCAAACTTAGATAATGGTTTAAACCATTAATTTGGATTCAACTGGAAATCTCGAACATTAAATCAGAGGACAAAAAATGCTAGAAGATGTAGGAAACTTGAAGATATCACCTGTCTTCTGTACACAAAATAGGAATAACAATGCCTAGCTTGATGTTGTTCCTGACAAATCACCCTTAACATGTTGCTTCAGCTAATACCACAGTAAGCATTTAGCTGACAAAGGAACTTGAGTAAGCCATTTGTTTTCCCAATGTGAAAAAAGGAAAAAAAAACCAGTAAATGTCACTTTTTCATAGGCTCTAAAAGTGATAGGTTTTTTTCAAGTTTAAAATATTGGTGAGAAAATTCAATTTTTTTGTATACCTTTTTTTTTGCTGGTTCTGAGTGGGATAGTAGGATGAGCTGTTAACACATCCATCCTTACCTGCTTCAGTATATTATGCAAATTGATTTGTTACTCACTTTTTTGTGATAAGCAGTGGTGATGCAGAAGATCAGTAGGAAATCTAAACCCAAAACAGCAGCAGAAATCCTTTCAGCTAGGTAGGTAATAAACCATTTGCGATCCCAAGCTGCTAAAATATGATTTCAATAAATAGAATTGGTGATTTGTAAAAATATAAATCAGCATGAACTTTTTTGTTACAAACTAAGCTGAAAAATCAATGATTATATAAAGACATTATTCCATGACAGCTCATGCTCAATATTCAGACTTTACAGCAATTTCCTCATTTCTAAAATGCCTTTGTTATGCTGAAGCAGCTCTTAACAAAGTTGTGACTCGAATGACCAAAGATGAGTGAACACAGCACAGTGATATGAAAAAAAAATAGCTATACTTTTTATAATCCTTTTCTGTTTCCTTCCCTCCTCAGTGAGAAAGCAGTTCATACATAAATTACTCAATATATGGTTAGTGAAAGTTCTCAATCTACTTAAGAGAATGTTCTTGGCTAACACAAAGCTGTGAGGAGTGGCTGACACCCCAGAGGGTTGTCTGAAAACTGCCCTACAGGAGGACCTCAGTGGGTTGGAGAGATGGGCAGAGAACTGTCTGGAATTCCATGAGGGCAAATGAAGAGTCCTGCACCTGGAGAGAAATAGCTCAACACACCAGTACAGGCTGGGGCTGATGTGCTGGAAAGCAACTCTGCAGAGAAGGAAATGGGGATCCTGGGGGAGAGCAAGCTGTCCATGAGCCAGCAGTGTGACCTTTTGGCCAAGAAGGCCAATGGGGTCCTGGGGTGCATTAGGAAGAGCATTCCGGCAGGTCGAGGAAGTGATCCCACCCCTCTACTCAGCCCTAGTGAGGCCACATTTGGAGTGCTGTGTCCAGCTCTGGGCTCCTCAGTGGAAGAGAGACATGGAGCTCTGGGCGTGGGTCCAGCACAGGGCAACAAAGGAGATCAAGGGGTTGGAGAGTCCCTTTTATGAGGAAAGGCTGGGGAAGCTGGGCCTGTTCAGCTTCGAGAAGAGAAGACTGAGAGGAGACATCATCAACGTCATGGAATCACAGAATCAGCTAGGTTGGGAAAAATCTTTGAGATCATCAAGTCCAACCTGTAAGTATCTGAAGGGAGGGTGCCAAGAAGATTAATGAATCCAGGCTTTTCTCAGTGGTGTTAAGCAATATAACAAGAGGCAATAGGCAGAAACTTATGCACAGAAAGATCCACCTGAATATGAAGAACTTATTTACTGTGTGGGTGCCCAAACACTGGGACAGACTGCTCAGGGAGGCTGTGGAGTCTCCCTCACTGGAGTATTCACAGTCCTGTGCCATGTGCTCCAGGATGACCCTGCTGGAGTGGGGAGGTTGAACCAGTTGACCCACTGTGGTTTCTTCCAACCTGACCCTGTGGTTCTGTGATTGTAAAGGCTGTCCCATAGCAGACACCAAAAAATCATTCAGTATTTCCATGGGCAGCAAGTTATTTTTCAGAGTATCAGGAAGATCATCTCAATGCTCAAGAGATTCTCTGTTCAATACTGCATGCAATGGTATCAGTTGTTTTCTGCTCCAATTTAAAAAAAAATCTGTTTTTAACAAAAAAATTTCACAAAAATTTCTCCTGTTATCATCCACCTTTTTTTAATCACCTAGTATTGTACCTGCCTTGATGACGGATATCACGAAACCTGCCCCATTTGTCCTAGCCCAAGTAAAAAGGCTTTCTTTGAAAACTGCAACCTAGGCAGGAAAAGTTAAACTTATAGTAGCTGTGCTTGAAATGCATTGATTTCTTTGGAATGGAGTCATATCTTCAAATGAAACTAAATAACAACCTGTAATAACTAAAGGTAGAGACAGACAAGAAAATGGCTTCGAGGTGTAAGCCGATTTATTCTTATAGTGCTCAAGTCTGTGGTGAGGTAATACTTATTTTTTAGGTGAAAAGCATTGGAGAAAAGAACAGAGGTAATATTATCAAAGTCACACAGGTAATCCACAGCTCAAACTCTCAGCTGTTCATTGGTGAATAGGAGCTAAAATCTGTCTTCATGTGTACTCTCTCTTTAATGTTCTGCTCACTCTACAATGAAACCACAGCTGCCCTGAAGTGCTTCCATTGGGGTAGACAAGTTATGTGCTTAGTTCACAGGGAAAGGAAAGCAATCAGTGCCACTAATGACAGTAATCCAAGCCAATCAGCTGCTGAGCCATCACCAGATGGCTTTCCTCTCCGGGATCAAAAAGGTTCACATCTTCTTATCTGGCTGTCCTAAATTCCACATGAGACTTGCTCAGGTACGTCTCTTTTGTATTAATGTGTTTATTGGAAAGGATAACAAAAAATACTGATTACAGAAGAGTCTTATCCTTGAATCCAATGCTATTTTACTGGAAAGAACAAAGAAAGAAAATTCTCTCAGAAGTTTACACTAGTGAAGGCATGTGACACTATAGAGAAGGCTGCCTGATAGCACAAACCAACACCTTTTGTGTTATCACCATGTATGAAATCACTCTACTGCAGAATGTCTTCAGCTCATGAGTACTTTAAATGACAGAATGGTTCATATACCTACCTCCAAATTCAGGAAAAATTATAATGTCTTTTTTGACCAGCTGTTATGCTACCCACCAGAGAAAGCTGCTGTCTGTGCCAGGGAGTACTTACAGTAATACAAAAAAAAAAAAACATCCTAGAAGTAACAAGGGAAAGAAAGAATTTAAATATTTTATTTGATTGTCATCAAGGATGGGTGACTCTGGATAGAGTTGTGGATTTCAGCAGCATCCCCACCCTTCAGTTTAACTGCTCCAGACTTCATTTTTTTCTGAAGCTTCACCTTGAGTTTTATCAGGTCATGGCTATAATCTCTGAGTTAATGAGTTTGAGAGCTGAGATTATCAGCTGCCAGTTAAATATGGATGAGAAAAATCATTAGATTATTTTTCTTTTAACTAACAACAACTGAAACCCATGTTCCTTTTTCCATTTGAAGTGAGCAAAACCTCCCTTAGGCATTTGTTTTCTTTAACTACACAAAACCTTTTGTAATTACTGACTTTAACATCCCAGTCAAGATTTTGCAGAAACATGTCAGAGGCTTGTCATATGTCTCTTTAGTTCTTATGTTCTCAACAAAGGTATTATGCTGACAGGAGGTTATTAAGTATATTTTCAGCATCAGTACAATTTCTGTCAAGTATTAGTATTTCTCTGCAAGTTTGGGAAATTTTTTTGCAGGACACATTTCAACCTTCAGTGCACTAACTTTGGTTTTTGAGGAGAAAGCACTGATGGGCCAGAGAACTGTCTTAGCAAGAAATTCGAACTGCTCTGCCAAGACCTTAATGTATTTTGTCACATGCCTTGCTGGACTGGCATGTATGGTATCCTAACTGGGCCTCACTGAAATAGTTTTCCCCACAGCTGAAAGGCAGAAATCCAGCATGAATGCATTCGAGCCCAGGGAATGGTGGTTGATTGTGTGGAGACCCACAGAGATGATTTGATACCTAGTATTCATACTCAATGACTTCATGAAGGAAGATTATTTCACTCCTATCCTGGGTCTCCTCACCCCTAACTGCAGTTCTTATTTTCTGTCTGTTTCCCGTGGCCCAGAAGCCCTCTGTCGCCTTCCAGCTCTCAAGGAATGTAGGATAAACCCCAGAGACAGTACAAGTATTTCCCTGCTTTTCATCTGGATGCTGATGAAGATTACGCTACTGTATTCAGCCATGGTGTGATCTCACCCTGAGCACTATGTGCAGTTCTGGGTCTCAAAAATTTAAAAGTAGGTGGAGGTATTTGAATGTGTCCAGAGGAGGGCAGCAAAGCTGGTAAAAGGCCTTGCACAAACTGTAATGTAACCCTTTAAACATGCATGTAAATACAACCACTAACATATTCTTCAGATCTAGTGGCACCACACAAAAGCACCTTTCTGTTTTACTTTGCCTAAGAGAACTTGCTACAAAAAAAAATATTAAATCTCTGAAAATGACTGTGTCTTCAGGAGGGAATAAGTACTTCTTTTTCAGCCCTGCTAATTTTTCAGTCTTTTCATACGACATGTCCCATTCTTTCCCAATCACCTACCAAAACAATATGTGGATTGCAAGTCTGTTTCCTTTCTTCAAAGACTTTCTCAAAGGAAAATCATAGTAAGAAAAGCACAGAAAATGGGTTCAGATGTGGAATCTGGTGTCATGACTGATCTCCAAATTGAAAGAACTTTTAGAAGGAGAGATATGGTGAAGAATTAATCCAAAATCTCTTGAACACATTGTATAGATATGTAATATTCAGCTGTTTCTGTAAGAGTCATCCAACAAGAACTACACTACTTTACAAATGCATTGCTTTAAATGTTCCAGGTTTTGAGGTAAAAAAATATTTGCAGAAGTTCAATTTAACCTGTAAATTCCTGTTTATGGAAAACAACAGTCACAATGTTTAGTGGGATAGAGTGGATAAACTTAGTGATACTGAATTGATCTCATGGTTTCATTTTCACTAGCATTCAAAAACATTAAATGCAGCTTGCTGACTTTTACTATACAACTACAAGAACTGTTTTCATGATGCTTGAATATCTATTCCTTTCTCTCTCCCTTTTTTCTTAACAAGAATTCTATGCTGTTTTCTTTGCAAAAATTCATTCACCTCTAGCCAAGAAGCAAGCTGCTTCTTTGTACCATACCACTTCTCAGAATCAGCAGTTTTTGGACTGCCAGCTCTTCTGAAAATAATCCTGTGCTCTTAATACAGCATTTCACCTAAGATTCCTGCTCTTCAAAAGTTCTTGAGCTCCTCTCAGCAACAGCTTAAAAAAAAAAAAAAAAAAGAGGGGTTCTTATCTTTTTTCTTACTCTCTCAACCTAAAACCTAAACAGCAGCTCTCCTGCTCTCCTCCCACCTTCTAGGCTCAGTACTTCAAAATAACTCTGGAACTGGATAAGGCGAGAAGAATCGCTTCACCCATGCAGAATCACACCAACAGGCTTAAAGCGTTGGAAGAGTTTGGTAGAAAATCCGAGCTGGAGCGTGGCTTAGCTGTAATGCTAAGCCAAATAAAATGACATGACTGAACTGGTAGAACATACACAAAAAAAAAATAAATAAAATTGTGAAGCAAGTTTCTGGCAGCAGTTTGTTTAATTCTAGCCACAACTGTTGGATCAAGCAGAGCAAGTCGCTCATGGGTTTGTGAGAGACTTCACTGTGCCACAGGGTGCAGTGGGAGCTCATGCTTGACCTGCTGTTTCTCTCCACTTACTCTTTTTTCCATATCACACCAGAAATATTGATTGCATCTTATGAAAAAGTTTCAAATGTTGAAGAGAAATAATAGTAAATCCTTGATATTTCACTTTCTTTGAAATTAATGAAGATTCAACAAAATGTACTTAATGATACAGGGTGAAGGCTTAAAAGGGATACAATGGAGTGTTTTCTGAATCATATTGTACTTAGTATTCTTCAATGTTTTCATATTCTCTTCTTCAATACACAGCCACAACTATGCTACTGTTTCTAGGACTAAAATCAAAATTGAATTTTTTTCAAGAGAATAAGAAGCATGGAAACTAAACCCTCTACTTTTGGAGAAGAAATATTTTGTGTAGGTAGAACTGATCATTCTGAAGGTTACTGTAGTTTTTGCAACTAAATGTTTTCATTTTGGTGTTAGGAGTGCTGCGCTTGGGAGTAAGAAGGAAATATTTCTATTGTTCCACAAATAACACATGCTTGATTACATCAATATAGTCAAAATTTTGAAATTTGAATGTTTAAAATTTTTAGAGGTGAGGACTTTTTGTCCTGTTTCCTGTATTTTTCTCACATTCTGCTCATTTTCATGGATTTTTGTGGTCAAGTATTCAAAGTAAAGCAGGTCATCATGGGGTTTTTTCCAAGCATATTCTCCTCTTCTCAATTAACCATATCAGAGTTTAAACTGGAGTTTTATTCTGGAGTTTTAGACCATGCCACGGTACTGCCAAACACTCATGTATTACCAGGAACAAGGATAGAGCAATAAAAGCTGGACCAAATGCTGCAACAGAAGAAGGTCTGGGGTGGTGCAAGGATTAGATCTTCAAAGTGCATTCTATTTCTATAGAGAAGAAGCAAAACCAAGTCTTCTTTTTTTCTGGATGGGGGGGGTCATAACAAAAAATAGAAGTAAAGGTGGAATTAAATCCACAGTTTGAGAAATTTCAAGTGTCTATGTGTTAGGACATGTAGGTCCCACTATAAGCAAGCTGTGAAAATAGCAACAGTAAAACCTAGGGAGCTTCTCAGCTCTCCATGAGGAAACCCCTCACCTGAATAAGGTGGAGCCCCCAGGTTACAAATTTCCACATGACAAATATGGCTGTAAGTGTGGTCTTTGCCTTTGTTGGAGGACAGGTCTCATCCCCAAGGCCCTGCAGTACAATGTGCTGATGGGGAATTCTCCTTGAGCCTTCTCTGGGAGAATGCCCATCTCCTCCTGCAAGCTCAGGCTCCCCTTCCAAAGCATCACCTTCTTGTAAGTCATATGAGGAGCAGCTGAAGGAACTGGGGTTGTTTAGCCCAGAGAAAAGAAGGATCAGAAGAGGCCTTATCACTCTCTACAATCACCTGAGAAGATTGTAGCCAGGTGGGGGTTGGTCTCTTTTCCCAGGCACCCAGTGACAGGACAAGAGACTCACTGAAGCTTCACCTTCAGGGATGATCTGGTTGGGCAGCAGCAAAAGGTGGTCAGACATTGAAGCAGTCTGCCCAGGCAGGCAATGAAGCCACTGTCCCTGCAGGTGTTCAAGAAACAACAGGACTGATTTAGTTCACAAGATGGTGCCCAGTCAAAGTTTGGGCTTGATGATCCTGGAGATCTTTTCCAGTCTAAATAATTCCATTATTCTATTCTATTCTATTCTATTCTATTCTATTCTATTCTATTCTACTCTATTCTATGATTGTTAATATTAAACCAGTTTCTCACAAACAGGTCTGAAGTCCTGCATTGAGATTATACAAGCTTAAACCCAGCTTATTTTTGGGAAAGTAAGATTTATCGTTAACTTTGCTATCTTTTACATGCTTCTAATTGGAATGTGGTATTTAAATAAATCCTCACTTGTTAATGAAGAGTTATTTTATTTTTTAAAAGTGCTAATGCTTCAGAAGGTCCTATTTTGATAACATTTACCATTTTCTCCTGTACTTACCAGCCACAGTAAAATTCATCATATGGGGTTTTTTTCTCCCAGCAACTACATGGAAGTATATCACAAAGTCAGAGGCTGTAATGTTTTGAAAGACAAACCTGGAGTTTTCCTGATCAGAGCAATCCACTGGTGTACATTCTTTGAATTCTAAACCAAAAAAAGCTTTGCTCTCCTGATGAGTTGCACAGAAAGACAAAATCTACCCAATCTGCTTTAATCCTCTCCCACATCGCTTGCTGCACTGAATCTCCAATTTTATCAGGGCAAGTAAAAGCAACATTTCCTCCTGACTTGGTAAACATGGGATTATTTTGTTTCTCAGACACTTCAAAAGCATCTGTTGAAAAATACAAAACCTAGAAAAAACTTGCTTATAATTAATTCAAGGGAAGTTTAGTATCCACAATTCCAGTGCAGCAAATATTAATGGAATTGACTTACAGTGGAATGATATTGAAATAATTTGAAATGCTGAAAAATATAATTTTTACCTATCTATGACTTTATTTTGGTGCACGTTTAGACAAAACAGTCTTTATGGAACCCTGAGTCTGTGATGACATTGTAAGAAGGCTATTTCTGTAAACTTTGAATACATGAATGCTCTGTTAACAGTTTCAGCAAATATTCAGCAGCATAAATTATGGGGCCAATCTAATTAAACTTTGCATAATCTTGTTCTTCTTTCACACTAGTTATAATAAGAAAATTGTTTGATGTGACCCTCAGGACATGCTTTAGTGAATTATGTTAAAAGACATTCCAGCTTAAGAGCTGCAATTCTCCCATTCACAAAAATCACAGCACCTAAATTAAAAAAAAAATCCTATCTATTCATACACTCTACTTTGGAAAAAGTCTGTATGGTCTGTCTGTGGTAGGAAAGAAGACTTCCAGACTTCAAGACTTCAACCACATAGAAACCTTAGATATATCTTAAATAATTTTGAGTAAAATCCCTTTGAGTTATTGTTTTTATTAATATAATTTTCTGTTTTCTACTTAAGAAATTAAATGTTTAAAAGTCTGCAATAGAAAGATTGTCAATTTCTCTGACATTCAGAGCCATTTGATTTCTAAAGTCAGCTTTGTAATTTCTGTATCCCATAATCTAGGATGAGCACTGTCACCTTGCTGCAGACTTTAATGTTGGAAAAGACTAATGATCACACTGTTTTTCTTACACTGTAAAAGGATCAATCTTTCAAGTTCTTAAATGAGATTTCTTTACATTAGATATTTTTAAGTAAAAAGTCACTGTAATATATTTTTAATGTGTTTGTCTCTCTCCGTGGCAACAACTGGAAGGTAAGTAGGCTACCTAGGAATAAGTGATTCCATTTATATTGACAGGATGGAGACTCCATTGTGGGAGTCTGTAGCTTCAGAGAGCCTCTCAGTCTCTGTGAAACAGAGAGTGAAAAAGTCTAGCCTGCAATTTTTTATCAATGGAATACAGCACAGAAAAATTACATTCCCTCTGCCTCTGGAGACCTGAAATATGATTAAAATGTTGAAATGTAGAAAGGCAAAAGGAACACTGTCTAATGAGTTTACCTAAAATAATTAATGAAGAACTTGAAGATCCATGTAGACTGCAATCAAGGAGATGGAAAGTTAATGACAGCCAAGGACAGAATAGAGATAAATTCACTAAACCAAACAGAAGGTATAACACGGTGAAGCTAATTAACTCTTTACACAGCTTGCCAAAGACAGCTAAATTTCTATTACTGAAGTTGACTGCAAAGGCTGGATAATCATTTAAGTTATCATGCAAATTCCAGCAAGAATTTACTCATGAAAGTGTAAGTATTATTCAAATTAGACTGAATGACTGCTTTGATGGGACTCTACACTTACAAAATAGGTTCCTTAAAGCGCATTCCCTCAAAATTCTCTACATTAAATCAGGTAATTTTTTATATATACCTTGCAGATACAGATCAGCAGATTCATTCAGATTTGCTAGGGAAGAGGGGTAAATGAAAAAGTGATAAAATCCCATCCTCTCCCTGGAACACTATGTTCTTAAAGGTCAGATCCTTTCCTCGGACCACTAACTTCCAGCAACAGCAGGATTTACAATAAACCAATATTCTTGCCAAAGAAGTCTTGCCCTTCATTGTGCAGTCTTTGCTCTGGTTTTCCACCAGTAGAGTAAGCCTTGCTGCTGCCCACATTCCCCTTAGGAGCGTTGACATCTCCTTATCTTCTCCTGGGTACATCCCTGCTGTCCAAATTGTTTCGTTACAGTGTCACCCTGAACTCCAGGTGTTTTTCCTGTGTAAACATGCAAAATAGGGAATTTTGTGTATGATGATGCTACCTCCCACCTTCCAGAGCATTTCCCCATGACCCAAATGATAGGACCTTACAACAACCAGCCTTCTTCCCTGCTGCTTTGCCATATATTTGCTAGAAAATTGTACATTGCACATATGGTCAACTGGGAACAAAGAGATAAAACATTTCCACCAAACAGATGAAAATCCCTTCTGTCTTAAAATTTATTCTGTATTAAAATTATCCTGATATATCCCAGTTGCTTGGTAGTATATAATGCTACAACATTGTAATACACTATAACAGGTACATTACAAAGCTAAGGTGGCCTTGCAAATTCAGTGAGGATTTTCCATGTAGAGATCTTGATACAACTGTATAACTTGCAAGCATGCAAAGAATAAATGTTATGTTAATAATGAGAACAAGGTACAAACAGCCAAATTAAAATAGAAAGTTTGGAGATTCTTGGCTTCTCTACTTTCTATCATGACCGTTTTCAAACACGATAGAAAGACGCCATGACTTTTTTTTTTGTTTCTTTATTTGTTTGCATATATATTTTATTTGAATATGTGTAGTAATATTAATGTATTTTCTATCTTGATGAATAATGTAAATATCTCCCCTTATTACAATATGGTACCTTGAACAATTTATATGATTATATAAGGCACAAACAATGGCAAATCAGGCCTACGTAGTTCTAATTAAATCTTCTAAGTACCCTACAGTATTCCAGGCTTTTGTTTTAAGCAATTGTCCCATTTTATTTTGACAGCAGCTTCAGCATAGTTCTTTCATCCTCCTTCTCCTCTGTTCAATCACTTACTTTATTTAGCACCTTTCTAAACACAGTTTCTTTGCTTTCAGCCTGGTGTGTGTGGGATGAAAACCTCCCTCTCCCAGAAACCCTTCTACGGGAAAAAAGCACACCCACACTCCTTCACCCCTGCACACGCGCGGCTCCGGGTGACACGCCACGTGTGAGCTTTGCAGAAATGTTAAATAAAAATTTATCCTTGCATCTGATAAAAATAGACTCTGCCTCCCTGCTGCTCATGCCAGACACTGCCACTGCTGTCTGCTGTGCCCATGGTCACACCATCTCGCTTCCTGAACAGAAAGTAGGAGGAGGTGACAGCGCTCAGGATAGGCCCATGGGCCTCTCCTTAGAAGGGAAGTGCTCACATGCTTGTTATCCTCCACCAACCTCTTTTGGCAGCATGCTATCTCACCATATCTTGCCTATGACTATCTGATATAAGGTATTTAAAGGAGAAAAAAAACCAACCAAGATTTCATATTTTTAGAATGCATTATCTTTCAATGTTTTTCTTGGAAAGCAAATATCAGGAATATAGAGGCATAGAAGAGTGTAAAGGAACTCTCCGAGATTTAAAAAAATCAAGCAACTGAACTGAAATTCCGCGGCAGGGAAATAGTTGAAGTCGAGAAAATCTTCTGAAGGAATAATAAAATATTGATATAATTTCTCCCCATCCCCTCCTACCCTTGCTACAAACATTTAGAAGTCAAAATAAGTCTTATGTGAAAGTTTAGTCCCCATTCATTGATAGAGATTTTCAGACTTTCTCATTTTTTTCATGTCCACTTCATTTTTGTTTGGTTTGGGGTTTTGTTTTTGTTTAGTTTCTTGTTGTTGTTGTTTTGGCCTCTGATAGTATCAATTGATATTGTTTCTTCAGAGATTCTTTCATTCCCTTAAAAAGTAATGTTCTCTATCAGGAACAACTAATGACCTCAGTAAACTTTTCAAAACTGCAAAGCCATCTCAGCTGTACAGCTGAGAGAGGTTCCCAGGTCCCAGTCAGTTTGCTGAAGCTCCACACACAAACAAGAGTTTTCTTCCTCTGCTTGTAATGAGCAGTGACAAAAGAAAATAATTGCACACAAAAAAGGGGCTTAAAATTTTAGGAAGACAAACTTTCTCTGGGGCTCTTTATTCATGAGGTAAATCAATTTTCAGAAGAGAAAATATTTTGAGTAACCCTTTCACCCTTCCTGAATAGACTAAATAATGCATTATATTTAGCTCCTAAACTAATGTCTTCCAACTGTATTAGCACATACTACATGATTTTGTTAAGTTTCTAAAAACACAAGTTCACCTCTTTTTTTTCAGTTTTAATGAGCCACTGACACCAGTTCTACAATTAGACCAGAAACCAGCAGTACTGTTGAAGAATGCATTTTACTAATAACAGTTGTTCAGATCATGAAATTTGAAATAAAAGTATTTATAGTCCTGTATCATTAAAACATCTGTTTTCCTACTTCCTGTTAAACCACCACAACATCCTTTTAAACAGATCTTAAATTATATTGTGAAAACTTTGGTGATTCTTTGTGTACAAATTATTAATTCTTCATTATACACTAAACATTGAGCACGCAATTGTAATTCACCTTCCAGCTGCAGTTGTTTGTATATATTCTTTTTTTGTTGATTTTTTTTCCTGTTGTAAGCTGAACTTTAGTTACCTAGAGTGCAAGGATAGGGAGAAGTCAAAGAGAGGGAGGGAGAAAGTAGAGTTCTAATAAGAATTAGAAAATCATTCTCTCTTCAGGTATAAACAGTGATGAACTTCCAGCAAGGAAAATTTGGTTGCTGCGGAAGAAGTCATTTGTTGAAATCATATAGAGCACTATGACAAGATTTACCTGCAGAGGGGTATTGAAGATCTGAGAGGTCAGATTTCCAGACTTTCACCCCATCCAGGAATTCCATTGGTTCAGGATGAAGAGAATTTTACCAGCAGCAGGAGTTCAAGGGGCGGACAGGAGTTAACACAGGCAGGACACTGTGCTCAGCCTTTACCTACTGTTGATCAGCTGTGCTGTCTCACAGGGGCAAAAGGGAGGGAAATGCTGTGCTGAGACCCTGCATGTCACAGCCTGCACGTGTGTGTGTCTGTGTCAGTGTGTCTGTCTGTGTGTCTGTGTCTGTGTCTGTGTGTCTGTCTGTGTCTGTGTCTGTGTGTCTGTGTGTCTGTGTGTGCGCATGCTATTCACGCCTGCCACAAGGCTCTTCAGGG